TATACCACAGTATATACCACTGATATGTCTGTATACCACAGTATATATCACTGATATGTCTATATCAGTGATATGTTGCATACAAATTTTAATTTTTGATATTAAAATGTCATCGTGACATCAAGCTCAGATATGTTTATGGTATGATTTTGTACCATTGTAATATTTTAACATTTTTTTTTTTTTTTTTTTTTTTAGAGGACTTTTGTTCTTGTTGCCCAGGCTGGAGTGCATCGGTGCAATCTCAGCTCACTGCAACCTCCGCCTCCCGGGTTGAAGTGATTGTCCTGCCTCAGCCTCCTAAGTAGTTGGGATTAGTGGCACGTGCCACCATGCTTGGCTAATTTTATGTGTTTTTTGTTTGTTTGAGATGGAGTCTTGCTCTCTCGCCCAGGATGGAGTGCAGTGGTGTGATCTTGGCTCACTGCAACCTCCACCTCCTGGGTTCGAGCGATTCTCCTGCCTCAGCCTCTTGAGTAGCTGGGATTATATGTGTGTGCCACCACACCCAGCTAATTTTTGTATTTTTAGTAAAGATGGGTTTTCATTATGTTGGCCAGGCAGGTCTCGAACTCCTGACCTCGTGATCCACCCACCTCAGCTTCCCAAAGTGCTTGAATTACAGGCATGAGCCACCACGCCCAGCCTAATGTTTTGTATTTTTAGTAGAGACGAGGTTTCATCATGTTGGCCAGGCTGGTCTCAAACTCCTGACCTTGTGATCCGCCCGCCTCGGCTCCCAAAGTGCTGGAATTACAGGCATGAGCCACCACACCCGGCCTAATTTTTTGTATTTTTAGTAGAGACGAGGTTTCATCATGTGGCCAGGCTGGTCTTGAACTCCTGACCTCAGGTGATCTACCCACCTTGGCTTCCCAAAGTGCAGGGATTATAGGTGTAAGCCACCACGCCCAGCCTATATTATATTTCAATATCATGGAAACTAATGAATTCAGAAAATGTCACCCATTTTTACCCCATTCTCTTTGAAACGGGTTTATCCAGGACATGGGCAAGGTAACAGGTGTCTCTGTGCCCCAGCCATGGCCCTGGCCACACAGCTGGCTGTGATGCTGATGGGGAGGTGGGCATGCAGGGCTGGTGTCTCTGTGAAGTCGGATGAGGGGCCCCTCCCTCACCAGGAGCCCAGCACCACTAGCAGGGTGCTTTGCAGTCTCTGTCTCTTGATCTATACACTTGTTCTGGAAGATGGATGTGACCACCTGCCTTTCACACATGGGTTCTTGCGGCTCACAGTGTCCATCTCTGGCCCAGAGCCATCCAGCTTGCAAGAGGCTGAGCTGGGACACACACTCTGGCCTTTGGGATCTGCTACTCCCCTCTGTGTCTTGGCCCTCCCCAGGGATCGGGCATGGGTCTCCATGAGCCCATGGGGCCTAGTGAGGGGTGGTCGACGTAGGCGGCAGTGTGTTGCAGGAGACAGGTGGGTTTTGTCCCACACCAGCCTGTTCCCCATCCTGCAGGGAGAAGAGCCACCCTTCAGTGCCTTACCACTACTTCGAGAAGGGCCGGCTGGATGAATGTCAGATGTACCTGGCACACGAGCAGGCGCCCCGAAGCGCCCACCGCTTCATCACTGAGAAGGCGGTCTTCTCCCGCTGGGCCAAGAAGAGGCCCATCGTGTTCGCCCATCCATCCTGGAGGACTGAGTAGCCTCCATTGCCCTGGAGGCTGCTATGCCGTGCGATGTCCCATCCCGGGCCGTCACACTCCACAAAAACATTTAATTTATGGATCCTGCCTCCTGTCATGTGCCAGGTGGACCTGAGGTTCCTTCCTGCCCCTTTCTGGCGACAGTTGGAGCCATCTCAGGCCTCATGACTTGAAGGGGCGTGGAAGGGGGACCCCTGTCTCCCCCTCTACTTCTTAATTCATGGCATTTGGGGGCTCACCCCACCTCCAGGTCTGTCAAGTGGCCTTTGTCCCTGGGGTTGATGGTCCCCTACTCACCAGCATCACGACCTTGTGCCAGTCCTGGTCCTTCCTCCCCAGCCACCCCTACCACCTTTTGGTGCCACGCTTCTCAGTCCGGTCGCCCTGGTTGGGGCAACCGAGAGCCTGGGGTTTGTTGGGTGAAGGGGCCTTGGAGCTGTGACTGCCGGGGCCGTATCACGAATGTACGGGTAAACGTGTGCTTTCTGGACACTGTCTCTAGTGTGGTCATGTGTCTAGGGGTGGAGATTGGGGCCTCTCCCTGTCACAGTCACAGAAATTACTGACTGGAATCCCTGAGGTGTTACCCAGGCACGCACTGGCTGGGCTTTAATTTCCCCAACAACCTCCCGCTGGTGGCCCCAGCCCAGCCCCCTCCCCAGCAGGTCAGGGCTCTTCTGGGGGCTGGTCCTTTCATTGCCCTGGCCCAGGAAACTGACCTCAAGTCAGAGGCTTCTTTGGGAACCCCGCTCTGCACACAGGGGGAGAAGAGTCAGGGCCAGGAGGAAGCGACTCGGAGTGAGAGGGAAATTCCTCCACCCGAATTGCTCCGGGGCCAAACGGCAAGTTAAATTACCCATTAAATCTGGGGTTTGGCCTGGAACGGTGGCTCACGCCTGTAATCCCACTGTTTAGGAGGGTGAGGCAGGAGTGTCCCTTGAGACCAGGAATTCAAGACCAGCCTGAGTGACATGACAAGACCCCGTCTCTACAAATAAATAAATAGATAAATAAATAAAAGCGGGCCAGGTGCGGTGGCTCACGCCTGTAATCCCAGCACTTTGGGAGGCCAAGGCGGGCAGATCACTTGAGGTCAGGAGTTTGACACCGGCCTAGCCAACATGGTGAAACGCTGTCTTTACTAAAAATACAAAAAATTAGCAGGATGTGGTGGTGCACGCCTGTAATGCCAGCCACTCGGGAGGCTGAGGCAGGTTTGAACCCGGGAGGCGGAGGTTGCAGTGAGCTGAGATTGCACCACTGCACTCCAGCCTGGATGGCAGAGCGATTCTGTATCAAAAAAAAAAAAAAAAAGAAAGAAAGAAAAGAAAAGAAAAGAAAAAGAAAGTGGTTTGGTCTCCCTGCAAAACAGGAAGGCAGAGAGCAGCCCGGGGCGGGTGCTGTGAGGGAGTCTACCCCTGGCTCAGCCCTTAATTTCCTCACCTGTTAAAGTGAGAAAAAAAGACCCAGCTGTGAACTCTTGCCATCCTCAGAGGAGGGCGGGTGCTAACCCGTTTTACAGATAAGCTGAGGCTACTCAGCTGAAGCCAGACAGCTGTGGAGCAGCTTGCCCAGGGTGCCATCCCGGGTCTGAGAGCTGAGCCCAGGGACCTTAGCCCTGCACCTCCAGCTGGAGAGAGCCCACAAGGCATCGCTACTTCATCTGGGGTCTGGGAGACTCAGGGAGGATGGGGCCAGGGCCTGGGGCTGTCAGCTGGAATGCAGCCCTGGGGTTCTAGCTGCCAGCTCCAGGGGTCAGGGCCCTATGCAAATACTCTGCCGTTACCAACTTGAAACATTTAGTCTTTTTTTCTTTTTTTTCGCAAGAGGACTTGCATTTCATTTTGCACTGGATCCCAGAAATTATGTAACCGGTGGTGCTGGGGGCTTTGGGTGACAAGGCACACTCTCCCTCCCACGCCTGGCTTTCACAGAAGGGGCTGGAGACCTGGCACTTGGTTCACAGCACTGCCTTTGTGCGCTGTCCCTCCCCAACTGCCCAGTGCCAGGCGGGCCCAGAAGGTTCTGCAGGCATGGGATGGGGGAGGAGAGCCCTGAGCTGCCGAAGCAGGGAGCAGGCTGGCAGCGACCACAGCACAGAGTGAGGGGCTCTGAGCAGGTGTCAGGCATAGGTAAGGGGGTTTCTGGGTTCAAAGGGAGGGCCCTGGAGTCAAGGCCTGGCTTCTTTCTGGCCCCACTTCCTGCTGTTGGAGACCTGGCAGATTAGTGCCCCTCTCTGGGTGTCCGTTTTGTCATCTGTAAAAGGTTAAAATAGTCCCCACCTCACAGATTCAGAGACAGTGGACTGTCCCCGAGGCTTAGGGCATAGCAGGTACTTGAGGTTTGGAGCCAGCATTTTCTGTGGCGTCTGCCCTCGGCTGGCCCTGCCCTTCCTTGTTGGCAACACAAGTCAGGAAGCCCCTGCCCATCAGTTGTCTCCGTGCTCCCTGCCTCATCCTGGGTGTCCAAGGTCCAGGGTCTGCGGCTTCTGAACTCCACCCTCTCGTGGGCGGGGGCTGCCTGCTCCTACTCCTCCATCCCCTCGGAAAATGCTGACCCAACCCTTGGGCCAAGGACGAGGAGGCTCTCCCAACCTGGCCCTGCCCTCGGGGGTGGGGTGTTTACTGCTGGGTTGGCCCAAACTGTGAGTCTTCCTGGGGGTGGTGACCTGGCAGGAGCGAAGCATCAGCCACTTCCTCCAGGCAGTCGGAGATGATCGTTGACAGGTCTGGTGGCTGGATCGGGGTCTGCTGAAGGCTGTCTTGACCAGGAAACTGAAGACTCTCCGCTTTTGCCACAGCAGTTCCAGTAGCTGCCTTGAGGTGAGCCCAGGGCAGGAACCTCCCACAGCCCCGGGGATCACCTGGACCTGCAGCCACTCTTTGGGCCTCTGTTTTCCTCTTTATACCCTGGTTCCTTTGCCCCCTCAGCAGACTGGCTGGAGACCTTCCCTAACTCCTCCAAGCCCAGAGGGGAAGCCAGGTTAGCCTCACAGCCCGGAGGTGCCCTAAGAGGCCCTTTCCTTAGAAGGGCGACGGGGCCAGGCTCGGAGCTCACACAGCTCACATACCTTCATCTTATAAGGATCAAAATGAGGGCCGGGCGCGGTGGCTCAAGCCTGTAATCCCAGCACTTTGGGAGGCCGAGGCGGGTGGATCACGAGGTCAAGAGATCGAGACCATCCTGGTCAACATGGTGAAACCCTGTCTCTACTAAAAATACAAAACATTAGCTGGGCATGGTGGCGCGTGCCTGTAATCCCAGCTACTCAGGAGGCTGAGGCAGGAGAATTGCCTGAACCCAGGAGACGGAGGTTGTGGTGAGCCGAGATCGCGCCATTGCACTCCAGGCTGGGTAACAAGAGCGAAACTCCGTCTCAAAAAAAAAAAAAAAAAAAAAAGGGATCAAAATGAAACAACCTCACCCCCAGGTGAGGACAGGAACATCTGGCCTCAGGGGGCTGATGGGCCCCAGCATCTAGGGTCATCTAGGCCCCTCTGCCCTCTCCAGCCTCTGTTGGGGAACAGGCAGTACTTCCTCGTTCCAAACCCACTGTGTCTCTGCCTGGAGCCCAGGTCTTGGGCTGTGGGGCACCCGCCCGCCTGCCACTCTCACAGGCCTCTCCTCTCCAGAAGCCCCTCCCCTAGGCAAAAGCCCGGAGAGAGAGAGGCCGGAGTCCCCAGGCCTGGCTCTCAGCCTGACTGCCCAGGAATGCTGCAGAGTCTTGAGCAAGTTCTATTCTCTCTCTGACCCGTGATCTTGGTTTCTGTGAATTGGGAGCTGGGGCAGGTGAGGGGATCTCTTAGGACTCTTTCCAGAATACCACAGAAGGGAAAAATCCTAACAGCGCAAAGAAGTTTGCTAAGGGTCAGGAAGCAGGGAAGTACATGGGGGTCTCCTGTCCCTGGTGCAGGAAGGGCCGAAGCAGAGGCCAGCTCTCCCAGACCATGGGGGAAGGGCTGGGGGGAGGACCACCAGGACTGGCCACAGCCACCATGCAGGAATGTCCTGGCGTGGCCTGGCCTGGCTCTCACAGGCCTAAGACTTGGTGTAGAACAAGTCTGTGGTTATTAAACAGAAAGGCCTGGTGGAAACAGCCCTGCCACCTACGTGTTCTCTGAGTCTGTTTCTTCCTCTGGAAAGTGGGTTAACTGCAGTACCCAACTCATAGGCCACCTTAAGGGTTCAATGAGGTGTGTTTGCAAAGTGCCTGGCACAGAGCAAGCTGCTCTGTTTCTTATCCTTGTTATTACTGTTATTGAGATGGTTATTGTCGTTCTTGGGGCCCAAGAAGGGAAGCCAGCCCTGAAGCAAAGCCTGCTGGAGTGAGCCTGTGCCGAGACATGGCAGGCCTGTCCAGTCCTGGAGTGGGGCCGAAGCACCTTCTCACTTCCGGGTGTTTGGTTCGGGTCACTGGCCTGCGTTAGTGAGAAGGGCTGGGGACAGGATGTTTCCTTCTCTGATACCACCTCCAACCCTCTGGGTGGCCTTGGGCTAGAGAGGCTCCTCTGAGTCCTCAGAAGTCAAGTTCATCAGGCCTCCCGCCTGACCACCCTGCCCCCACTCCGTGGTTTTCCATCCTGTTGCCTGTGGGGTGGGGTCAGCGACCTAGGAGGGCCATGGGTGGGGCTTGGTCGGAGGCTCAGGAAGCGGGTGGAGGTGGGCACCCGGGGCAGGAAGCCTCAAACCCAGCCTTTTGGGCCACCCGCTCCCAGCCTGGTGGGCAGTGCCTTTATAGCCTGGAGGCTGGTCCCTGGGGAACTGCTGATCTTTGTTTTAATAGGAAACGGAGTGTTATTAACTTCTCATATAAGTACAATGCAAACAACCTGGAAGTTTATAAAGGGAAAAGTGAAGGTAGCACCCAACCTGCCCGTCCCAGCTTCACTTTAATAGGGAATCAACTGTGGGTAGGCATTGTGGATTCTTCCAGACACTGTGTGTGTGCATTTACAAATACTATGCATGGATAGTTATGGCTTTTAAAAAGCAAGCAAAAAACTTATGCTATATGTTGCAGTTTGTTTTTAGAAATTAAAAAATACATTTTTAAATATTTAAAAATATTGTGTGGGCTTGGTGCGGTGGCTCTCGCCTGTAATCCCAGCACTTTGGGAGGCCAAGGGGGTGGATCATTTGAGATCAGGAGTTTGAGGCCAGCCTGACCAACATTGTGAAACCCCGTCTCTACTAAAAATGCAAAATTAGCCAGACGTAGTGGCACACGCCTGTAGTCCCAGCTACTCAGGAAGCAGAGGCAGGAGAATCCCTTGAACCTGGGAGGCAGAGGTTACCGTGAGCTGAGATAGTGCCATTGCACTCCAGGCTGGGCAACAAGAGCAAAACTCCATCTCAAAAAAAAAAAAAAAAATTGTGTGACCATTATCTTAAAATTTTTGGAAATTTACAGTTAAAGAAAAAAAAGCAGCCCCGATCTCATCATTCCAGAAATACCCACTATTAACTCTAATCACTGGCCAGGTGCAGTTGCTCAT